ACGACACGCTTGGTATGCGATTAATATTTTGCAGAAACTTTATATTAATTTTTTGACAATCTTAAATGAAAAATCTTAAAACTAGAAAGTTATATATCTCATCGAGGACTATAATTTTTATATAAAAAAGATCTTCATCCCAGGTAATATGGAAAAGATATAATTTTTTTTAAAAAAATAAGCCTTGTCACTGACATGTGAGCCCCAGCTGTGAGGTCTACGTAAACGCTGACTCAACGTGGCACGTCAGCTAATGGGTCGGATAAATGCCGACACAAACTAAAAAAGGAACCCATAAATACATGACACATACAGACAACTATTAGATCTGCGATGCATTTCACTCCATGACCCTCGGGTCGCGTTCGGCTGGTAGGTGGAACAGTAGATTTTAGATTATTTCGAATAATTTAATAGTGTTCTGTGAAAAAGAATAAGGCCTCGTTTAGTTGAGGCCAGAATCGGCGCCGCCGTAGCGCCTGTAGCTACAGTAGATACTGTAGCATTTCGTTTGTATTTGGTAATAATTGTCCAAACGTTGACTAATTAGGTTCAAAACGTTCGTCTCGTAAAGTACAACCAAACTGTGCAATTAGTTTTTGATTTCGTCAACATTTAGTACTTCATGCATGTACCGCAAGTTTGATGTGACGGGGAATCTTCTTTTTGCATAGTGCCAAATTTTGGATTTAGGATGAACTAAACAGGGCCTAACCTGAAACAGGAATCGGTACAGCCGAACGCGGTGTACATACAGTCATTACATCACCTGTATCTGGAGTCGAGCGGCGAGATGACCCACTTGTCCGACCCGCCATGGGACTGGCTTTGGCCGGGCGGCCCGCCGAGCGGCGGGAGGATGATCTTGGACAGGTACCGGAGATCGAAGGAGCCAGAGCCGGATCTCTCGCCCGTGCCGGAGCCGCCGCCGCCGCCGGCGCTGCCCGTGCTCTGAAAGCTCGAGTTGTTCTTCATGACGTACGCAATGCTAGCTGCTTACTCCTATATATAGGATGCGCAGCTTGTGGTGCGCTGCAGCCTGCTGGACGCCTGGACGGGGGTTACGAAGAAAAGATAGATGGACCGGACGAGAAAGGCAAAAGGTCACCTTTTACAACGGGAGGCATCGAAATAATGAAGCAGCCAAAGCATCAACGCATCATATCAACAATGGAGGTGTGAGGAGGGTGACGATCTGGTGAGCATCTGGCTGACGGAAGGGGTGCTGTCCGGGACGACAGTGGCCACCAGGCACAGCTGCACACATCTCGCGAGCCACGCCCTGCAGGTGTGTGGATTTGTAGAGAGAACGGGGCCGCTGGCTGTGGCTGGGAATTCACCGCGACTTTTTGGCATTGTGTACGTCAGTACGTATGAAATGTTCATGGATACCGCCATGCTGGTGTGCTACTCGTTCAGGTCCTTTTTGTATTTTGGAGTTTTGCGCTTTCGAATTCATCGCTGAATGGCGACAGTCGGACATTGTAGTCGGCATCGCCTGTAGTCTCCACGCAAATGCAGCAGCTCTGCTCCTCCGTGCATCACTCATGTTTATCACGATTTCTGCGATTCTATCACAGCACAATTAGCCGATCAAAACTGAATATTATTTTTTACCCCCACCTACTTCAGGCGTGTTTATCCTGCACTTTTCATCCTTAGGCCATGCCTGTCAGCTTGATCGCTGGGCTGGCTGGGGCTAGCCAGCCCCCTCGTATGAGTATTATTCACCTGAACCAACCTGTAATACTTCTCTCTTATATAAACGAACCAGCAACGATATGAACCAGCCAACCGAATAGATGGGAGAGAGACAGACTGAAGGTGGCTTCGCAGTGTGTCGTATTGTCTTGTAGAAGAGTCTATGGCCTCGTTAGAAAAAGCGTAGGCTTGGGCTAAAAAGGACACAAAGCAGCTAGTGAACACCGTGAGATTGGCCGCTAGATTCTGAAAAGTAATGACCTCGTAGCGACGTTTGGAGAGAGAAGTATGATGGCCCCGAAGGTACATGTGGCTTGGGATGTGAGAATTGATGGCTCCATCCATCAAGAGCTACTTGGATGACCCCTTTTTGCTGAGGCCAATGTTTCTTATAGCCACCGTTGAGCGTGCCCTTAATTAGGTAAGCCGTCATCATCGTCAAGCACAACCCTCTATCGGCTTTATGCTAATATACACTGAAAAAATTTATGCTCAATTTACAAAGCGATATATTTCAACTGTCAGATATACAGGATAGTAGACTATTAATCTGCAGTATCAGAATGGAATGGACATGAGGTTTGACAGTTGGTATATTGACATTTGACAATGAAATAGCAGGATGAGACGGATGCCTTGCTAATGAGCCAACGTTCACTGAATTCTAAAAGAGCGAACACTCTAACAGCAGTCTCCTTTTACTATTTTCGGATGCATTGTTTTCACCTTTTCTTTTAGCCGGTGCGGTGGTGCAGGTTTGTAGGGTCCGCTAATTGCCGAGTGCGCTTTGGACACTCCGTTTTCTTTTCTTTTTTCTGTCACTTCAGCCGTGCAGGCGTATGTCAGCAGCACCGCTGCAACTACGACATCAAGCTCGGGCGTGAACGCGCACGACGTCGCTCAAGCCAACTAACGCGACGTCGTTCGACCATGGAAGCTGTACATGGGCCTCGGCGAGGAGCACGGGAGCGTGGCCCAGTACAAAGGTTCATGGCCTTCACCAGCTGGAGAACGGTGGCGTGAGAGAGTAGTATATTATGAATTATCAGATTGTAACAACTCTGTTCTGAGCACTTCTCTGTTCTTAACAATTCCCCAACTATCCTATACTATATCTGCTTCTTATTCAACTCTTTTTGCTTGTGCTTACATGCGAAAGGGCCTGTGGTTTAGTGATAGGGCTATCCAGTAGACACTACCCATCATAGTTCAAACCCTAGTGTCGTAAAATTTAGGGTTCACGCACGTGTGCGCTTTCGGTGGTATTGCGCATTTCCCACGCACTGGAGGCTAGAGAGCCTCCCAACCTCTTCTTTGCGTGTGTACGCGGTGTGAGTGTGGAATGTGTTGGTTATGTACGTCCAAGTTGTATCCGATCAAAAAAAGATGAGTCGTTTTTCTTTCGCAAATCCAGCCTTGATTCCACACATCCCCACTTCACCCCTTGCTTGCCCCGCGTTTTCAAAGCATAGGTTTGTGGCACGGTCCACACAAGCGTAACAGGCCCCTATTTGCGAGCGGGATACGGGGTTCGAAGGTTTTTCTGAAACTAGGCGATGAGTCCTCTACCTTAAGCGCAATGCTCAGAGGGAGGGGAGAGGGCGTATGCTATCCTCCCGCGGTCTGATTTTTTTTATATACGAGTTATATCCACAAAAATAAGCTTTGCTCCGTAAGGGATGGGTTGGACCCATGACAGAAACCAAACGTGATGGCTAGCTTCGTATTTAGGATTAAATCATTCTGCACTTGTCCATTTGGTAAGGGCCTTACTAGCGCTCAGACGTCGGTGCCTACTGCTCCATTCACGTGCGTCCGCATGCACGTAGGAGCCCGTGCCCCCCTCCGCGCCTCCAATCTGGACACCCGAGCCCTATCCCGCTCCCGCGCCCCTCCGCTTTCGGCACGAGCATGCCAGGCGGGACCGCCTGCGCCCTCCCCATCTGCTTCCCGTGCTGCCCCGAATGTCACCAGCATCGGGAAAATAGGATAGGGCGCGAAGGATGCCCAGTCGGAGCTCGGAGGAGGAGAAGACACCGAGGAGAGGTAGCAGAAAAAGCGATGAGGGAGATGCAACACCCGATTTACTTTTAAAACATCAAGATGCAACACTTGCAATATATGTCTGAAGGCAGATGAAACACTTGAATCATGCGTCTGAAACACTAGCAAAAAACACCTGAAAACACTTGAAAACCATTGCAAAACATACGTAATATCCAGATAAAACACTTGCAACATACTACGTGTGAAACGTATGCAACATCCAGATAAAACACTTGCAACATACGTGTGAAACGTATGCAATCGAAAACACAGATGAAACATTAGAAATAGACCTTTGCAACATACATGTACAACCATTGCAAATATGTAACATCTCGATCTACTTTTGCAACATCCGCATAAAATAATTGCAGCATACCTATGAAACACATAAAACATACACCTGCAACATGCGTTTTTAGCATATCGCAACATCTTCGTGCTGCTTGGGAAAATGTAGGCTCGTCAGCGTATGGAGTTCGCTGGAGGCAGTGGGCCGGCGAGCAGCTGCTACGCAAGATGGCAGGGAGGCACCAGCCACGCGACGCGACAGGGAGGCAGGAGGGCAACCAGGGCTCAGAGGCGGCCGCGCGCCGCGCCTGGCAGGTAGGGCCAACAGTCCGGTGGGCGAGCACCGCACTTGGCAGGCAAGGCCAGCAACCGAGCGCCGTGGCTCGGAGGCGGCTGGGCGCCGTGCCTGGCAGGTAGGGCCGGTAGTCCGGTGGCGAGCGCCGCTCCTCGGAGACATTAGGCGAGCTGATAGGAGCAACGAGCGGATAAGAACAATGAACATTTTTTTTACTAGAAACGAATAAAGGGATTTGAGAGGGTCGTTGGGCCGATCCATTACGGTTCCGAGAGCCGCGTCCACATGGACAAGATGGACGGACGTCCTGACCTAGCATTATCGATTCCGGGAAACCAAACGCGCTAACAGGTTTGCAAAATCTATGTAAAAAATAATTTGAAAAAGGAATATATATAAAAATTAAAAATAACAATAGGGGCGTGGGTTGGGCCATACAATCTACTCTCCAGGGATCTCACTCAGGCCCGCAGCCTCCAAGGCGACCTCAGTCCTCATCGCCGGAGGACCCAGCCAACCCATCAGATGCGCGGACAAGGTGCTCGCCGCGGCACACCGCAGCCACAACCAACCTTCGAGCCGCCACTACTACGGGCTCCTGTCTGCTGGTCCCCAGACGTGACGGCGCGTGCACTAGGGCGCGGAGAACCCCTAGTCACCGACCGCCATGCTCCGTCGCAGCCGCCGGTTCCTCGCCAGAACACCTCGCCGCCGCCAACCCAAAGCCGCCGGGAAAGCCGAGCCATCTCCCACAGCCGCGCCGACCTACACCCGTGACGTCGTCCGCCGCGCCACCGCCATCCTCCGCGACCACCCCTGGTCGGCGGCGCGCCCGCTCCTCCTCTCCCTCCCCGGCCTCGCCTGGGACTCCCACACCGTGGCGCGCGTGCTCAAGACCCACCCGCCGCTCCAGAGGGCCTTCCTCTTCTTCCGCCTGGCGGCCGCCGCGTCGCGCACCTTCCGCCACGACCGCTTCACCTATACCTCCATGATCCACCTCCTCGGGGAGGCCGGCCGCGTGCCGGCCATGCTCCGCCTCCTCGCCGAGATGCTCCGCGCCGGGGTCGCGCCCGACGCCGCCACCTTCACCACCGTCATGCACTGGCTCGCGCGGGCCGGTGATGTCCACGACGCCATGCGGGTGTGGGCGGAGATGAAGGCGAGGAGCAGGCCTACCGTCGTCAGCTACACCGCGTGCGTGAAGATTCTGTTCGACGCCGGGAGGGCAGAGGAGGCGCGGAGTGTGTTTAGAGAGATGGTGGCTGAAGGGCTGCGCCCCACCTGCAAGACCTACACGGTGCTCATCGAGCATCTCGCTGACACAGGTTAGGTGTTCGACCAGATGCCTGTGCGACGCCATTTGCATACTATTCTTAGCAGTGCCTTGTCGATATGAGCTGCTGGCTTGTTTTAATCATTTGCCGGGATGAGATCCTGTTGGTTGCTATGTTAAAAGAGGGGTCCAGGGTAGGTTGTGAAGAGGTTAATGTCGGTATGCAGGTATTGATAGTCTGGTACTTCATTTTATCAAATTGTAGTGTACGTGTCATTGCTAATAGCTGAATCGGAAATTGAATGCATATGACTCCTTAGTTTCACCTCCAAATTACAAACCTTAGGCCTGGTTTAGTTGGCGAAATTTTTTGGGAAATGGTACTGTAGCACTTTCGTTGTTATTTGGCAATTAGTGTCCAATCATAGTCTAATTAGGCTTAAAAGATTCGTCTCGTGAATTTCGTCTAAACTGTGTAATTAGTTTTATTTTTTATTTATATTTAATGCTTCATGCATGCGTCCAAAGATTCGATGTGATGGGGAATCTTGAAAAATTTTGCAAAATTTTGGGAACTAAACAGGCACTTACTCTTATACAATTTTCTGTTCATTTTTTGTCAGAACTTTCAATTTTCTCATCATTAGTTTCACTTACGTTTGACCTTATTGTCAGACTAAGACTGAAGTCAGTGCAACCATTCCATTTTGTAGCCTTGAGAATGTACCTACTATTGCACATCATTGAAGAATGGAATGGTTATTTAACACTATTAGAGGAACTAGAATTCTATTTTGACTGACATATGTCATTGATTTGTTTAAGTACACTGTAAATCTTGGTACCATCATATATTAACATGAACCTGGTTGACTTCAGGGAAATTTGAAGCTACTCTTGAGATTATGGACAAGATGAAAGAAGCATGTGTACAACCAGATAAAGCACTCTGCAATATTTTAGTACAGAAATGTTCCAGGGCTGGTGAGACATCAGTTCTTACTTGCATTCTTCGGTACATGAAGGATCATTTCATTGTTCTTCGTCGACCTATTTTTTTGGAAGCACTAGAAGCTCTAAAAGCTAGTGGTGATAATGATGAACTTCTTCGGGAAGTAAACCCTCACCTTTCATATGAAGGCATTGAGAATGATCCAATATTGTCTGATCAAGGCTATCTTACTGATAGAAGTATTATTCTCCACCTTATGTCTGCAAACAAATGGTCTGCTATAGAACAAATGGTTAACCAAATGGCCCCGAAGAATGTGAAAATGGAGACCCATATCCTGTCTGATGTTATTGAGGCCAGCTGTGCAGACCGTAAACCGTCTTGTGGGCTCGCAGTTATGCGTTATGGTTTAGGAGTAGGCTGTGAACTTGGTAGGTCTGCATATTGTTCTCTTCTTGGTCAGTACATCAGAACTGGGTCATTTGATTTAGTCTTAGAGATTGTTGAGGAATTGATTAAATCTTGTTGCAATCTTGGGACATATTTATCATCTGTTTTAATACTCAGATTGGGCTATGCTGGGCAGTCTGCATGCGCAGCTCATATTTTTGGAATGTTGACTGCAGACAAGAATGTAGTTTCATACACAGCCCTTATCAATGCCTATTTTCAAGCTGGCAAAGTTGACGGTGCTCTTGATGTATTCACACAAATGAGAACTAATAGAATATCTGCTTGCTTGGGTACATATGAAGTCCTGATACATGGCTTACAAAAGGTTGGCCTGAAACAGGAATCAGATTACTACCGAAGAGAAAGAATGAATATGCAATGGCATCTTCAGTATCATGGTCAGCGCTCACCTGAAGATACCTTATGTAACCATCTGTTTTGTAGCATTCACGGGTGATTTTTCAAGATGGATTGATATACAATGTTCTTATCATTAGCACAATCGTTCCATCATCCTTCCTCAGCCGTGAAGGTAACACATGTCCCTTCATATTTGCTTTGATATGAAATCAAATAAGAAAATTGATTCATCTCTAAATTGTACAATTGGAGCTCCATGCTGTGGAAAACTATTTTTTTTTTCTCGAACTACGCAGGAGAGCTGCGAGTCATTTCATTAAGATAGAAAAGAAAGTACATAGAGAGGGGGAGAGCCCCCAGACTAAGTACCAAACACACCCCCACACTTACAAAACACTACACACCCAAAACAAGGAAAGACCTGACCATAGAGCACCAAACCTAAGATGGTGCTACAAGCGACCTGGCAAGCAGCTCTTTGAGCTTAGAAGCTCCAGCCAAGCACCACAGGGTGCATTCATTTGTTATGGCCTGCAGGAGCACCTGGGAGTTAGGGAGAACACCTTCAAACACGCAAGAATTTCTATGTTTCCAAATCTCCCAAGCCACCAAAATGATGAGCGAATTTAAACCCTTTCGCCACTGATTTGGAGCAGCTCTAATGACTTTGCCCCACCAAGCTGAGAAGGTAGAGGAGTTTACCGGCACATCAACTACCAGATTGAGATGTGAGAAGACCAAAATCCAAATTTGTCTAGTAAAAACACAAGACAACAGCAGGTGGGGGGCTGTTTCCTGCGCTTGGTCACAGAACAGACATGCCGGGGGGTGCTGCAGGCCCCTCCTGGCCAGCCGGTCAGCAGTCCATAACCGCTGTTTAATAGCCAGCCAGACAAAGAACTTGCAGCGTAAGGGAGCCCAACTTTTCCAGATTCTTTTCCATAGGATAAACTTTATTGAGCCAACGAAAAGGGCTTCATATGCTGACTTGCTGGTGTAGATTCCAGATTGGGTCAGCTTCCAGCGGTGTTGATCCGGGGTATCCTGATTTAGATGGACACCATCTAACTGATCCCAAAGTAACAGGTACTCCATCAGGACCTCCACTGAGCGGCCTCCTCTAATATCTGAAACCCAGTGCCTGTTGGAGAGGGCCTGTGCCACTGTTCTAGATTTGACAACTTTCTTAGGAATAGTCTGAAACAGATTAGGAGCAATTTCAGCCAAAGTTTTTCCTTCCAACCATCTGTCTTTCCAGAATAGGATTGTTTCCCCGTTTCCAACAACCGAGACCACTGCCATGTTAAATAAGGCTTGAGCCTTTTGGGGTACCTGGATATGAAGACCAGCCCAAGGACGAGAATGATCTGTTTTTTGAGCCCAAAGCCATCTAATCCGCAATGCCCAACCAAAGGACTCAATGTTGTGTATGCCCAGACCTCCATATTCCAAAGGGCGTTGTACCTTTTCCCATGAGACCAGGCAATTTCCACCATTTGCCTGTTCTTGTCCTTTCCAAAGGAAACCCCGCCGTTTTTTGTCAATAGCTTTGATAACCCATTTGGGCAGGTCAATAGCCAGAAGATGATGTATCACAGAAGCCGTGAGAACCACCCTAGTCATAATCAGGCGGCCTGCTCTATTCATCAGAGAGGCTTTCCAGCTTGGGAGGTAACCAGCAACCTTGTCAATCAGAGGCAGGAGTACTTCCTTGGAAGGTTTTCTGATTGTAAGTGGTAAGCCCAAATAAGTACACGGAAACTCCTTTGTGGAGCATGCCAGGTGCTCCGAAATTTGTTGTACCTCTTCCTGTGAGCACTGAATTGGGAAAGCTGAACTCTTGGAGAAGTTTGTATGGAGTCCAGAGGCCTGACCAAAAATATCTAAAATCTGTTTCATTGTTCTGAGATCATCCACACATGGTCGAAGGAAGATAACAGCATCATCCGCATAGAAAGAGGCCCTATGAATGGCCTGCTGTACCGTGAGGGGTTGCAGAAGGTGGTGTCTGGTGGCATAGTTTATCAAGAAATTGAGTACATCCATTACCAAGATGAATAGCAAGGGTGAGAGGGGATCACCCTGCCTAAGACCACGATGGTGGAAAAAACCAGACCCTGGCTCACCATTAACCAATACCTGAGAAGACGAAGTAGACAGCACCAAGCGTATAAGATTACACCACCGCTGTCCAAAGCCCAGGTGGCGAAGAACCTCCAACAGAAAAGGCCAAGAGACAGAGTCAAAGGCTTTTGAGATATCCAACTTTAGGAGAACATGCGCTTCTTTTTTCCCATGCAAAGCCTTGGCCATCTGTTGTACAAAAAGAAAGTTATCATGTATGTTCCTTCCTCTAATGAAAGCGCTCTGATTGGGAGGGACCAGGCTTGGCAAGAGAGGAACCAGTCTGTTGGCCATGATTTTTGTCACCAGCTTGGCGAAACTGTGAATTAAACTTATGGGCCTGAAATCCTTGACCGAGTTGGCGTCCTGCTGTTTTGGTAAAAGGGAGATGAAAGCTGTGTTGAGCAGCCTGAAACGAGCCACATGACCTCGATGTATAGCCGATAAAGCCGACATGATGTCGTCTTTGATAATACCCCAGCAAGATTTATAAAATCTGCCTGTGTATCCATCGGGTCCTGGGGCTTTGTCCAATGGCATCTCCTTTATTGTAGCCCATACTTCTTCCTCTGTGAAAGGGCTCTCCAGCGAAGAGAGATCATGCTGCTGAATCCCAATTTCTGCAAAGTCAATGGTATAATCCCTCTCATCAGCCGTGCCCAACAAATTCTCATAAAACTGCAGGACTGCTTCTTGTTTATCTTCTTGGTCAACTACTGTTTGATCACCCACTTGCAACTTTGCAATGAAGTTTTTCTTCTTCCTGTAACGGGCTTGCTGGTGGAAAAAGGATGTGTTAGCATCACCTTCCTTCAAGTACAGAACTCTAGAACGGAGGCGTGCAATAGTACGTTCAAGAGAAGCCAATCCCAAACAGTGAAGCTTAAGTTTCTTCCTCAGCCATTCCTCACTTGGAGAAAGATCCCTGGAATCCCTAGCAATCTCAAGATGGTGCAGAATTTCCTTGGCTGTCCCTAGCTGAAGCTTGACATTACCAATTTTCCGTTGGCCCCATTTCTGAAGGTCTCGGCTAAGTCTATGGATAGTGAAATTAAGGAATGGCTTGGAAATTAGTGCAAAACTACAATAAATTGGAAATCCTGATTTTGGCTTAGGGCGTCCCCAACAATTGTCGAAGTCTCCAGCTCACTTGGATTCTCACCGACGTGGAGGTGAGAGAAAACGGAAAAATAACCTTGCTAGCGACTTGTTCATCGCTGGTCTCGCTCAAAAAAAAAAAAAAAAAAAAAAGGTGAGAGAAGATCAGGTAGAATGTGGGAAGAAAGCGAACCAGACTCCAGCAGCGCCCTTTCGCCTCTCGCTCGACTAATCCCAGCAGTGGATCCAAACGCTGGTGCTTGCTCTCCGGAGGACTAGCAGCCGACGGCGGGTACACATGGGTGACCACCAACTGGGCGGCGCGTGCTCGCGGGCGCCCTACCATCACCGTGCCCCAGCTATGAATTCAAATTTCCGCGAAATGGCTATGAGAGTGGAGCGAGCGACAAGGCTGATGGCGCACGGGTCCGGGAGTGCTGCGGCGCGGGAGGAGACGTGGCCGATGAGTGGCGGTGCAAGAAGAGACAAGGCTGGCCCACCTGGCGTCCTAGTTGGTAGCGGCGACGGGGCCGGCAGCAGCGGCACAGAGCAAATCTGCTTGCTGGTGCCTGGGTTCACACGATGGGATAGAGATGCGGTTGGAGAGAACGGAAAATTAAAAAAAAAACTTACATGTGGGTCCTACATGGTGACGTGGAGCTTAAATACCTAACAGCGGGCGATTTCCGTTGAGGATGCCCTTACTGTTCTTGTGGAAGAAAATCCGTTTAAGAGTTAAACCAGCTGTAAGTCTGCAAGTCCATGCCACTGGAATTTGCCATCTCACGATCCAGTCATCCACATCATTCCTGGATCTCCAAGGTTTATCTCTTTCTGTTTCCCCTAAGGAGATAAGGAAAGGGAGAAGATGGAAACAGAAGAATGCCAAAATGTTAACCGTAGGAGTAGTTATATATTTGTTATTGCTATTTACTTTGATTTATCACCACCACGCGTGCTGTGTGCGCGCGCTGGGGGTGATTAGTGACATAAGCGCTTACATGTCAAACTGATTCATTGTCAGTGCCACGTCACTGGAAAACATCCTTTGAATGGGATCAGTAGGGCAATTTGGCCGGTTTCAGTAGTTGAGGGCTGTTGGATGTAAATATTATACTTCAGCAACAGTTTGAGGGTGTAAAATGTGCTTTACCCTAAAGTTTAAGACAAACTTAAAAAACAGATTTTTTCCAGAGAGTGAAAAATAAGATTTCGTCGACTTCCTTTCCTCGACCGTTTTCACTTCACCTTTGGAAGAACTGTTGCTTCTGTTTCTAGCCAGTATGGTAAATATGATAGGATAACCTTACCTATCATGAGTTCTCCTAAATGATTAGAAAACTTGTGTTGATTTTGACGTTTCATGGTCTGTGCATCCTTCAATTAGTTGCAAGGTTGTTCATAATGTCACTTGGGAACTGCAGTTAATCAATATAAATTTGAAAATTTGTAGGAACTTCTAGAAAGTACCATGTTTTGGTAATTGTGAGGAAGCATCCAGTGTCCCGGAAGCCTGGATCAACAAACAGAGGTAAGTGAAGTACTAAGCTAATCACCAATAAAACTATACCTTGCTTTATCATCCAACAAGGATTAACTTCTTTTGTTTTACGGGAATTGGGCAAGAGCAATGCCCTTTTATTATTGAACTTCTTTACAAATTAGGAAGCATCCATTGTCTCATCAATAAAGTAGTAGCAATGTAGCATGATGCGCCATCTACATTATGCCATATGTAGAAATTCTGTGAGATCTATGTTTAGTATCAAGACTTGTTCTGTAGTAGAAAAGGCAGGTTATGCAAGATAATTTAGATGCATTGTTCAAAATATGAAAAATCTGGAGCTATGTTACTTGAATTTCTAAGCAAATTGGAAATCAGCGTATCACTTAGGGGGTGTTTGGTTTGTGGAATGAAGTGGTCCATCATCATCTCACTCTCTAGTATTTTGTTTGGCTTGTGGAATGGAATGAGTTGATCCATCACTACCTCATTCCTCACAAGCTAATAATTAGCACTAGTATGAGGAATGAGGTCATTCCATTAAATTTGAGGAATAAACTCATGATGCATCACCCCATCTAAAATGGGTTGATTCCCAAACCCAAACACTACATTATGGAAGCATTCTTTCTGTTCTGCTTTACATGATGGTGTTCCTAGGTATCCAGCAACATTAGGAATCGTTTGGAAACAAAATAATCCCGTCCAATCCATATGTATTGGGAAGGATTGGAGGGGAAATAGTTCATTCTCCATTTACCCAAATAGGCCATAAGATGGCTGATATTTTTGTTTTCTTGAGATTAGAGCATCAACATTGTCTTGTCTTATCCCCATTGTTTTGTCCTAAGTAAATCTACCGTAGTTATGATTACTCTCAAACAGAAAACCAGTTAGCATACTCGAAGTAAACCAGTGACGGACAGGTTCATATGCTATTACAATGGTCATATTGCTCCTACTTTAAATGACCCCAATTTATTCCATGTGATGTTTGTTGTCACAGGACTAATAGCTTCTCTTATGGTGATCGATTTGTCTTGGTGCTAACTGCAACTCACCTTCCAAAAGCATTCAACTGTTCGAGGTTGCTACAAACGTGATGAAGATTGGTGCTACTGCTTTTATCAAGCCATTACTCAGCAGTCTTTCCACAGGCTCACTAAAAAGTTGTCGGCTACTATTGCAGAAGGGTTTTACCATGAGACTCGGTAATTCTCTGGCACTTCTAGCCACCATATTCTGCATTCCTGATTAGTTCTGCATGCAATTTGGGCAAAACATGGGCTTAATATAATGGTGAAACATTGAAAAGGATGACTAAAGAACTTGTTTTAAACTTGTCATTTCAATCCACATCCAGTCAGCAGGAAAGAGCTGAGCAAGAGGTTGAAACATCTTTAGACAGGATACTGCATATCTACATCAGATGAGGCTAACATAGTCTAGTTGTCCATTAACTAGCCACCTGAATCTAAAGAACTTCATGCATATATATTACATAGCACGGCAACATTCATCAAACATGCTGCATCCTATCTTGAATCTGTTAGTTGAAGTTCAGGCTTCACTGTCAGGCCACTTTCATAGTTGTCTTCAGCCTCTTTGCAGCTTGCACAAAGCCGACAATGACCTGCAACTCATCCAATTGCTTCAGCATGGGCAAAAGCAAATTGGATTATCACAGCAAAACAGATTGTCAGGACCTCACAGCATAATGATGCAAGTTACTGGAGTCAGAAGTTTAATTTGTTTTTACCAACCTGGGACGTGAAGTGCCTTTGAACAGCATCAACTAACTGCTCCCTGGATGGATTAGGACATGCATCCTGTTCAGCAAATGCAGTCATTTAGAACAACGAAGCATAATTGGATTCTTGCAGTTGATAGTAGGGCCTTATCTAGGAATTTGAGCTCTACTTACGAGATTGAAGTGGCGCCAATATCTCCACAGTGCAGTCAGTTCTAGCTTGCTCAGGTCAACTTTCTGCAGTGTTACCAGTCAAAAGAATGTTAAGATACAAGCTGCAAAAGCAATGTGGTCCAAAAATAATTGAGCAACGACTGAGAGCAAAACTACATATAAAGTCATCTACACAGATTACTGTAAAGTGATTGTTGGATTCCAACCAAATGATATAAGTCCACAACCCAAGGAAGCGAAAGTCGCACCGTGTGAGCTCTTGAGGAAGATGACACAGACGTCTTGGAGTGGGAGTCACATGACATTGAACGGCTGAGGGATTTTCTGTGGAAACCCCTATGCTGCCTGCTTCTTGACCGCTGTGGCTTTGGTGATTGTGCATCATCGGAGGCTGCAAGAAAGAAGATTAAAGAAGGCAGCATTTCAGACGCATATATAACCAAGTTGCAGGACATGGTTAGGAACCAAGAAAACGGTGCCTCAAACTAAATTCAATCTGTACAGATCTGTGACCTAATGGCATGTAGATATTTTTCATATGTTCTTTAATCAAATGCAATGCTAGTCCCTATAAGGAGCATTATTTGTCTCTAGAACTTTTGTGTTTGTCTTGGATAGATCTGACTGTATTTCGGATTTTTTTTTTCTACTTCTGCTGCTGAATTGTGCAATCCAAAACATATGACCAGTTCTGTAGAAGATTGACGAAACTAGCACAGAATGAGTAATACTCGGTCTCCAAGAATGAATGACTTTACAAATAAAACAAAGATCTATGCTTTCTTGAGTTGAAATGAAACGCAGGGAATCCATTATATAAGAAACAGTTCTAGACACGAACTGTGAAACAGACAAAGCATTGTGATTTGTGAATGAAAAATCCTGGTATCTTACCCATATCTGAACTATTCCACTGCATGTTTTCACAATCAAATTTATCATCATCCTCGTTGCCAGTCGGAGGTTCAATCACACTTAAAGCATTACGCTGCAGCTTTACCTCTATTCCATTAGTAAGAACCTGGAATTTGAGAGCAGGTGAACATCAGGTTTTTAGGAATATAAGCGCAAACTTAAAGCCAATATCATTTGATAAAAGTTAGTGACTTCTACCATGACAATTGACAAGTTTATTTGAAAGCAAATTTTAGCACAAAAGCATCCTATGATTGCCCCATTTCGAGTTGTGTATATTCAGGAATAAAATGGCTATAAAGGCCTAAAGAATAAATATTAAAACAGCAATGAGTGGTGGCGCGCGTGCTGAGGGTGGTGGGATCCAAACACCCAGAGGATAACCTATGGTGGTGTCATATAGATAAATAAAACAAGAACAGTCAGCCAAATAGGGCCAAAATATTACGTGAGATGAGATGTCTAATCAATGCACATCTAATTAGCCAATGCATAAGATAGTGACCTAAGCAGTTTGTATATTGGAAGTTCGGAACCAGAACCAGACATATCGCTGGAAATCAGCAAAACATGATTTCATCTACAGACCTACGACTCTAGCATAGCATTATTAAACCAAAAAATGCTCACATAATATAATATTGTTAATTACCCAAAAAATCGTACTGTCAAGGCTTGGCTGTAAAGAGTTCAGATCAGAGGGGTGTGAACTCAATAGCTCGTCGAGACAATGATGGTTGCTTGAATGAGTGATTGGATAGGATAAATACTAAATAAACTATTTTGCAAAACAAAAACAGAAAGGATAAATCTAAAATCAAATTAAGACTAAGCCGATACATTGTGTTGGCACAATGCAAGGAACAGTGAAATAATGATACCGTGCGTACAACTTGCAGGCATTCCTCAGAATATCCTCCCAAGTTCTGAGTGGCAAGGCTCAAATCGAGACGCATACAGGAACAAATAATTTTAGAGCTGCCTCCAGAAATTCCAAAGAAACGCAGCTCAATCCAAATTCCCTAAAAAGACGCCAAGGACTACAGCCAGACTCAAATCTAGATACCTAAAACATCCAAAGCAACAAGCAATAATGGTCCACGGCCACGAGTTTCACAATTGATGCTGACAGCCCAATTCAAATACAGATCAAACAAAATGAATCTCTGCAGTGCAATCAGGGCCACGAACAATGCAGTGACAGTGAGGAACCAAGATCTGAGTTTTCGTCTGAATAACTGCAAGTAGCTGGGGAAAGTTTGAACAGAAAAATTGAGATTAGACAATCTTGGGAATAAATTTAATGGCAGTATTGCAACCTAGATGCAGAGAAATTAGGAACAGTTCAATGCTGAATCAAACTGCAAGGTACAACAGTGCAGCAATAACTTAAACCCAGAATTAAAAGGAAAAGAAAACGAGATCGATCTGAACTTCAATAAACTAATCCAGATTAGCAATCCGAGCTAAATTAGGGTAAATCCTCCAAACACGGACCTGATCGAAACTCTAGAGCAACTAAAACCCAAAATTAACAACTAGAGAAGCAATTCACATTGCAGCGAAACAAGATCTGGGATTAAAAAATCGGCAATTGCAAGGTGGATGCAGCGAATTACCAGCCAATGCCATCCTCTGAGGCCGACGGCCTTCTTCAGCTCAATCCAAATACCCTAAAAAGACCCAAGGACTCAAATCTAGATACCTAAAACATCCAACGCAACAAGCAATAATGATCCACGGCCACGAGTTTCACAATTGATGCAGACAGCCCAATTCAAATACAGATCAACCAAAATGAAACTCTGTAGTTCAATCAGGAACACGGACAATGCAGTGACAGTGAGGAACCAAGATCTGAGTTTTCGTTTGAATAACTGCAAGTAGCTGGGGAAAGTTTCAACAGCAAAATTGAGATTAGATAATCTTGGGAATAAATTTAATGGCAATACTCCAATCTAGATGGAGAGAAATTAGGAATAGTCCAATGCTGAATCAAACTGCAAGGTACAACGGTGCAGCAATAATTTAAACATAGAATTAGAAAAAAAAAGGCAAAGAAAACAAGATCGATCTGAACTTCAATAAACTAATCCAGATTAGCAATCCGAGCTAAATCAGGGTAAATCCTCCAAACACGGACCTGATCGAAACCCTAGAGCAACTAAAACCCAAAATTGACAACTAGAAAAGCAATTCGCATTGCAGCAAAACAAGATCTGGGATCAAAGAATCGGCAATTGCAAGGCGGAAGCAGCGAATTACCAGCCAATGCCATCCTCCGAGGCCGACGGCCTTCTTCACGACTCCGTGCAAGCCCACGAGCACCGACTTGGTGCGGTTGTTGCCGGTGACCACCACCTTGGTATGCCGCGGCAGCACAGACATCTCATCCTCGCCCCAGCCTGCCGGCACTCGGTTGACAGCCGCAATCATCTCGCCAATGGATCAGCGCCCTACCTGCCGCGAATCCTCCGCAAATTGCCGCCCAATTCAGGCGCGGTGGTTTGCTCTGAGGCTGGAAGCAGGGTGTTGGGGGCTTAGGCCCGGCTGAACCGGTTTGGTGGGGTGGAGGCGCTAGGGGGGGAATTGAGCGCGCTGCGCGCACTGAAGCAGAGAGAGAGAGAGTGCCGCGGATGCGTGTGAGTGTGTGACTTTCTTGCTTTTCGTGTTTCCTGTGCTGCTGCTGGCCTGCTGCTAGTACCCTACACCGCCTGCCTGCTATGCATCCCGGTGCGCAGGCGCCACCCAGTGGGAGCGCGACGCGTGGCTTTTAGGATTCGTTTTTTTTCCCTATGTATTTAGATGTGTATATGTCTAGAAAAAGCCAATACGTCTAATAACTTAACACTGAGAATATATAAAAAAAGCTAAAACGTGTAATAACTTAGTAAAACGGAGGAAGTAGTCATTTATTCAGGCCCTTGTTTGAATGATTTTGAATTTCGTACCCGGACAAAGCAGGCAGAAAGATTGGTAGGGAAGCATGGACTGGATTTGCTACACCGCGTGCTGATGGCCAACTAGATTACTGTGCTCGAATCTGGGCATGGAACTTCTCCTCTCCCTCTCCTCGAGCCCTCGCGTCTCAGATCCAGATCCCGTCGGACCTCTCCCTCCCGTCTCCGGCGAGCTCGCCACAGCGGCAAAGAGTGGGCCCCCATTCTTAGTACTTAGTAGCTAGTAGCTGTAGAGGTCCCCGAGATGGGTGTCTGCCTAGTTGTCGCCGTCGATGTTGCTACTGCTGCGGCCTTCCTCGGCATCTTCCTCGCCGTCGACGACGTCTCTGCCATGGTCAGTATGAATAAAATAAATATGTTCTCCTGCTATGCGGATCTCCCCTCCTCTACCTCCGTTCCCACCTACACTCACCATCACCGAGATCCGCTTTTCTCCGCTCCGCAACCTTCGCCGCACTCCACCTCTTTCCTGCAGCCTACAGTCCTGTCGCTCCCTGCTTCAGCCAGGCAGCTCCTCCTCTGGCGTTAGTTTGACAGCTCTGCCTCCACCTGGGATCCTGGCTTGAGCCTTTTCTATCTCCGGCGACGGCTTCAACAACATCCTTTGTCGTCGGCGTGAATCTCATTCGACGGCTCTACATACCCACCCTTAACCGACGCTATGCGGTCAGTCCACCGGGTGCAAGCGTCTTTGACACCCCTGCGGCCCCTCGCCGGCGGATTCGTCCTCCTCAACGCCACCGACGCTGCTGCCTTCTTATCTAGTTGCAGGACTTTGATGTAATTCGGTCTTCCATGGAGGACCTCTTTGTAAACTGACTGCTTTAATTATATAATATATGTTGTTGTAAAAAAAACTAGATTACTGTGCTCTGTATCCTAAATAAAACGGTTGCTATCGCTCTATGATTATACGGTCCGGATTATACTAGTGTTTTCCAGGTTCATGTTACATCCAGAATTTATAATATTTTAAACACTACTCCTATATTTCAAGTGCCTGAATTTTAAGATGATTTCAGGAAACACTCTTATATCTCTGACTAGTATAAGTAAATTATTATTTTGTGATTTGTTATTTGTCTTTGTGTCATAACATATTAAATTTTGTCCTTGTCTTCCTATAGAAAATAATTATAAATTATTAATTGTCTTTGTGTCAATACAAATCAGATTTTGTCGGGTTTGTGGTTCTATGTAATTGGTTTTTATTCTTGGTTCCGAAAATTGCAAATTGCATTTACAGAAATTGCAATAAACGAAATCTGCAATTTTAGTACAAAATATATGCAATAACTGCTACATGAAAGGAAACTAAAATTCAAGCACCTGAATTTTAGCAAACCTCTATTTTAAAACTGTAAGTGGGACTTTATTTTTTCTTCTATAACTAGGTATTGCTATGTACGTTGCTATGGACATATAAAATATAAACAAAATAATGTAACACAACACCTAATAAACATATTAGGTAAAAGCCCATGCGTTGCAACGAGAAAAATAATATCACGATAATATAAGTATAAACATATGTCGTATTGTTACCGAAAGATGAACAATTAAAATATAATTTAAATTTTGATGCGAAATTGAAACAATCTAGTTCATACTGCAAGAACCATGTCCATTACGACTATCTATTCTACCATTTCTTGTCTATGATACGCTTAAGATAGTAGGAATTGAAATTCTCCTAGAACTTCTTTAGTAAACCAATAGTTGGACCACAAAGTCTTGTATCATTTGGCCATCCTGTGCAACATATGGAATACGAAATTCTCCTAGGTTTATGCCCATGTGTTACAATAGAAACCAAAAATTTTGCCATGACAATATTTGTTGGGCCTGTTTTGGTTCGTGACCAAAACTTGCCATGCCAAATGTTAGTCATGCCATAGTTTTTTCGGCAACTGTTTCGTTTGCTGCCACAACTATGGTGCGCCACACTTTCTTAGCACCATATTGAAAGATCCTAATGGCTAGAAGGGGGTGAATAGCCTATTGAAAATTTCTACAACAACACTTAGCAAAGATGTTAGACAATTAAACGGCGAAACGAGTGTTGTGCTAGCCTACTAAAATTACAAGCCACCTACCACAATTCTAGTGACTATGATCTCTAAGCATACAATGGCTATGTCACTACACTAAGTTAGTGTGCTCTCAAAGACTAACTAAAGAGCCACACTAACCACTAGACCCGACACAAGCTTGCTCTCAAAACTAATTACACTAAAGAGCGAAGCAACACTAGAAATCTAAATGCAAGGTAGGGAATATGATGATTATATCATCGTGTCGAGGATAGAGCCAATCACAATATGATGGAGCCAATCAATCATAATTAATCAATGAATACCAAGAAAACCTCAGACACGGTGATACAAGATTTTTTATCGAGGTTAGCTTGCGTACCGGCAAGCTAGTTCTTGTTGTGGTGATTCACTTACTCGGAGGTTCACGCGCTAATTGGCATCACACGCCAAGCCCGCAACTGGGTGCCGCATAACCAACACAAGATGTGGATCACACAAGCCACGAGCAATCCATTAGAGTACCTTTTGGCTCTCCGCCAGGAAAAGGTTAAGAACCCCTCATAATCACCACGATCGGAGCCGGAGACAAGCACCTTTCTCCGCTCGATGATCCTCGCTGCTCCAAGCCGTCTAGGTGGTAGCAACTACCAAGAGTAACAAGTGAATCTCGCAGCGAAACATGAACACCAAGTGCCTCTAGATGCAATTACTCAAGCAATACACTTGGATTCACTCATAATCTCACAAAGATGACGAATCAATGATGGAGATGAGTGGGAGAGCTTTGGCTAAGCTCACAAGGTTGCTATGTCAATGCAAATGGCCAAGGGAGTGAGCTTGAGCCGTCCATGGAGCTTAAATAGAGAGCCCCCACGAATACAGCCGTTGGGCTCCTCACTGCAGCTTTCTCGAGGCGACCGGACGCGCTGGTCAATATGACCGGACGTGCGGCACCCCAGCGTTCGGTCGTGGATCATCGTCCACGTGTCCCCATTTAAACCACGTCCACCCGATCTCCAATGCTCAAAAACTCTCGCGCGATCACTTGAGTCACGATTGGACTCACCAGCAAGCGACCTGATGCTCCCACGCCGCGTCAGGTCAACGCAACACCGCGCTCCTTCAACAATCGATTGGACGCGCTGATCACCTCAGCAGCCTGCGCATCAGGTCAGTTCTAGAGGCACTTTTCCACGATCGGACGCATCAGGTGCGCCATGACCGGACACACCCCAGCATCAGGTCCACGTTCTCCTCTCTACATGTCGCCACGTCAACAAGACCGGACTCAGCCACCACGTGTCAGGTCACAAAGTGACCCAGCGTTCGATCACTCCACCAACAGAGCCCGAACGCGCTTTCATTTATAATTGACCGGACTCACCACCCTACGTCCTGTCACTTCGACAACAGAGTCCGGTCAGTGTTTTTCAGTGAAAAACAACTTCTCCACTTCTCAAACTTCTTCACCCTTGATCAAATGTGCCACCACCAAGTGTATCACCTTTGTGCACGTGTGTTAGCATATTTTCACAAAACATTTTCAAGGGTGCTAGCTCTCCACTAGATCCTAAATGCATATGCAATGAGTTAGAGCATCTGGTGGCACTTTGATAACCGTATTTCGATACTAGTTTCACCCCTCTTAATAGTACGCCTATCGATCCTAAATGTGATTACACTCACTAAGTGTCTCGATCACTAAACCAAAAAGCTCCTATCAAGTTTCACCTTTGCCTTGAGCTTTTTGTTTTTCTCTTTCTTCTTTTCCAAGTCCAAGCACTTGATCATCACCATGGTCACACCATCATCATGATCTTCACCATTGCTCCACCACTTAGAATAGTGCTACCTATCTCATGATCACTTAGATAAACTAGGTTAGCACTTAGGGTTTCATTAATTCACTAAAACCAAACTAGAGCTTTCAATCTCCCCCTTTTTGGTAATTGATGACAACCCTTTCACAAAGATATGAATAGAAATTCATTTGAATCCATGTTGCTTGCCCAAGCATATTTATCATGTGTAAAGGATATGGACAAGTTTCATGAACCCCAAATGGTAGCATTAGCTCCCCCTACATATGTGCTAAGAGTTTGGATTGAAGCTTGCACATATGCATAGATTAGAAATGTGGGAGGGCAATGTCTACCAAATGATGCTAAGGTATAAGAGATGGACCTTCAAAGTGTGATACCAATCGGAGTGCACCAAATATACCATCCTTAGCATCATTAGTAACTAGACATACACAAAAACTAGGATACCCCATGAGATCAACATTAGAAGCAAGGGTCTAGTTTTCACAAAATAAACTCAAATCTAGTTACTCAACCTAAGCATGCTAGTTTCTATTTCATCAATCAAACCTACAACTAGCATACACCACACAAGCATGGAATTTTAAATTTAAAACTTGTGCCATGCAAGCAAATAG